ATGTACAGTACCGTGCCAAACCTAAGTATTATTTTTAGCACTTGCATGGTAAAAACAGCGTATTTAATTTCAATACTGCTCAGAACAGAAACAGGAATTTGCAAGCAATGCCACAAACAACCTTATTTTAGTCTGTCAACCACATTAGCACCATTTACAAGGGCGTTTTCAACCATCCCTTAAGCATGTATTTATTACGGCGTCTTGTTAATCTTCACTTGTGTAGTACCATATACCGGCATATCATACAATGTACATGTATATAGCATAAATCACTGCCCAAAATGGGAAGTGGATTCAACAGCATTCGTGAGCAGACACATTGGAGATGAACAAAATGAAACTTATTTTCCTCCTCTCTTCCCAGTAAAATGTTCAGAAAATTCCACTGTCTAAGTTCTGTGATAAGTGTGCTAGATAGGGGTCTGGTACATGGACATGCACGGTGTACATGTACGTACATGTGGAAGTGGCAAAAGTACATGTACTGCACACTACAGTAAAGGGGGTTCTTCTGTACTGGGGCATATTCTGCAATACCTGCCCTGGGATATATCCGCCAGCGCAGTACTAGCATTTCAGCACATACCGAGCTAATGGGCAAAGCACACTACGGGGGCGGCGGCGACGGCTGTCGCTGGCCTACCATATGGCAGGAAAGTCATTATTCTGTTTGAGATTCATCATCGCACACGTAGGCCACAGTGCCAGGCAGGGGCCAAGAAACAATGCATGTATTTGACATTTAACTAAAGACAGAACTGAGGTGGGGCTGAAAAGGTGGGGGTGTAAAAATACTGTAATTCTCCCAAGCACCCCCAACACATTACATCTGCATTGGACAAAAAAAATAATAATTAGAACTACTGGTACGGCATGCCGATAATAATTTCAGCCAGCCACGAGGATCGCCGAGTCCAGCTGGTCTGTTGTTTACAGTTCATCTTCGAGGGAGGGGAACCATGTGGGATGAGGAGTGTCATCTCATACATGTATGTGTAGGGTTTTGGGGGCGGGGGTTCCATTTTTGTTTTGCTAAGTGAATGTCTGCAAATGTCTCTTCTGAGATGTTCTGAAAATTTCTTGCTTACTTATTGTGCAGCATGTTTACATACCAGGAACTCACAAATCTTTCCATAACACCCGTATGTCTAAAGAAAATGAAAAATACCTTTCAAGGTGGGATTTTTTTTTTCCCACGGCAAGCTGGGCTGATTTCTGAGGTACATAGTTTCTATGTACGGTAAATTGATGCAGTGTTATAGTTGAATACATTCCCATGCGAGTGAGTACGAGTATGAGTGTTCAGGTATGACTTTCAAGCATGAGTACTGGTAGTACAGCAGTATGCTTATAGTTGTCCAGTACATTTCACAAGTAAAAATTCTTGAGTACGAGTATTTGTGAGTGTGAGAATGAGTACATGTACATGTACCAGTGTTCAGATATGACTTTCAAGCATGAGTACCGCTAGTACAGCAGTATGCCTATACATGTAGTTGTCCAGTACATTTATAAACTGTAGAATTCTTGAGTACGAGTATTTATGAGTGTGAGAGTGAGTACTACAGCACTGTCAACTGAAGTACAACTGACGGTGCAACACAGCAAGGGTTAATTATCTACAGCACATACAGTACATGTACACGTACAATACATGCACCAGTAGTTGCTTCATATCCTTTAAACATGTCCCTGCTGGTAGAAGTGTGCCGTATTGGTCAACATACATAATTCATGTACATTCTGGGGAAATTCCAGTAAGCATCCAATGGCTTACCACACGGCACACCCCATTTCCTTGACTTTCCATGACACCATCTGAATTGCCACCAGTGTTTTTCCATAACATCGGGAACCACTAGGGATGAATAGTAATGTGCTGGTAGGCGGCCGTCTGGTATCCTAGATGGCTTTATTTTGGGGAAAAAAAATCTAAAAAATTTCCATTTTCCATGTTTAAATTTGAAAGAAAGATATTTCTTGAAAACAGTGGTCTTGTGGGCAACATTGTGAAGGCATTTGGTAATTACCGACAGCTGTTTGTAGCCAAGCCCTGGTGCTTACCATATGGAAAGATGGAGTCGTCCAGAAAAGAAATCCATGGTGCATCTTGTGCACCACCGGATATGAGTATACATAAAAGAAACTTCCAAAATTGACCTTTACAGATTACAAGCCTGACATTTCAAAATTGCATTGAAGTCAAGGGCCCATGACAGTCGGTGGCATGCACATGTAAAATTGGCGTGCTAATAGGATGGAAGCAATGCATGTGTACAGCATGCCGGTAATTTACGCATGTGGTGTACTTCATGCACATGTACGTTACCTGCAATTGAAGTGCCTTTAATATGGTTCTCAAAATATGGAGTCCTCCAATAATTCAACTAACTTACATGTATACCGGTACACAAAACATCCGAAGTACAATTTTTTCTTTTTTTCCCCCACATGGGCAGTTTCTGTACATGTAACTTTTTTCCTTCCTTTTCTCTTTTATTAATGGGTATTTCTTGTTCATGGTAGAGCAAGGGCCCACCAGGGGCAAACCAGATGGTGATCCTATTTTGGAAGAATTTGTGCTGACATAAGCAAGGGGTCAGACGTGCTTGCTTGCTTACATCTGGGAGGAGTGCTGGGTGCTGGTGATGTTGTCTGCAAATCTCACAGACGTACATGTATATTTAAAAAAACCTGGACTTGCAACGCCTTTGTATGAAACAGAAGCCAATCTTGGGCCATTCTACCGAGCTGAATACAAATGCGCAGGTTGGCTCGCTTCTATTGACGCCAGGGAGAACGAAGGCGGGCGTTGCCGGGCAAGCTTTGTATTCGGCTCAGTAAAATAGCCACTAGTGGATTCAATGTTCTCTGTAAGCTGATTAAGGGCATTGCGAGTCCAGATTTTATTTATATACATGTACGGCCGTGGCTAATCTATGCATACATATGTACATGTACATGCGCAGAATGCATCTGAACTGAAGGGCATCTTTGCTGATGGCAAAGCTAGTGATACTGGGGCAACCCAAAATATCAAATCTAACTTAGAGGAAATGTGGTCGATACTAGTCCACGAAGAGAGAACAAGTGGCACAGTCCTCACAAACAAGGCCCAAACAGACTAGTGGCAGGAATTCCAACGTGGAAATCTGAAAAACGGCTGGCCAAAACGGGTTGGGCAATGAACTGAAGAGCGGCCAAACTCAGGCTGGTGGGCAGAACCCACAGGTGGTTTGGGAAAAGTGGCAATAGTGGCCTGGTGGCCAAAACGGACTTGTGGGAAAAATGGCCCACTGGCGAGTAGAATGGATGGGCAGCCAGAAAAGCTGATGAAACGCAACAGAAAGATAGCCACAGAACACAAGGTGGCCAAACTGGGCCAACAAGGAAAGCAGTGGGCCGGGTTGCGAGAATGAGACCGTGCACGAGGCCATCGACAGACAAGTGGCAATAACATCAGCTTCTGGACCGTTTTCCCACAGCAAGGAACGCAAACCCAAACAGGATGCACTAGGCCACATTGGTCACACGTAATAGCATCATGAGCTCTGCAATTTCCATCCTTTCACTTAAAAAAAATGCAAAGATCCCAGTCTGATTTAAACCGCAGATTTCTTTTAGTGAAAACCGAAGCCAATGAATGAGAGGATGGGGCTGGACCTGACAAAATGTGGGTCAAGACCCATTTGGAACATGCGTTCCAGCTGTACCGGTATATGTTCCCAATCACCACCTTCTCCTAATGGTTCAGGTTCAGGTAACGCCCTCGATACCACATTCCAAAGTGTCAATGCCGGGCCACTGAATCATTGATAAAAAGTCAAGCAGACTGCCTGGGCCAAATCCCCAGCCCAAGAACAAGAGGCCGAGACAACCAGTAACTAAACCTGGTCCTTGGGATTGATTTGTGTGGACGCCTCTCACCACAAAGCTGCCAACCATTACTATAGGGGCATAAACAACACCCATGCAAGGGGTGCATGGGTTCGTGACAAGGCCCCACGAGGAACCGTTCTAAATTTGGATCCAAGATCACATTTCCTTTGAACTGCCATATCCATTCACCTGCAAGGAGGCCAAAGGAGAGCACATGGTATCCCAGTCAACTAGGAATGTTAATCCTGCCCCAAAAGGTCAAGTCTATCAACCTACAGGGTAATTTTTTCAAGACACCCCCCCATCCCATTTTTTGATGGAGGGATTTGGTAAAACCTGTTCCCTCCTCCCCCAACAAAACACCAGTCACCTCACAGTGGTGAGTCACATCCAGACATTTTTAATAAGTACCGTCTTGCATTGGAGCAGAGAGACATTTCTCGTGATATTTGGCGCCGAACATTTACCATAATACATGTACGTGTATGTCACACACGCCTCTCGAAGATAATGATAGACTGCGGTCAAAGCATTGATAAGCAGATTTTCAGTGCTTTTTTTTTGTTTACTTTACAAAATATCTTCAATGAACACCACCCGCACATCTGTTTATCATTAATTTCATTCCCACCCCCCAGAGATGACTGGCCTTGAAGTTACGGTTCATTTTTCTAAAATGTCTCCCAAATCCAAGCTTATGCAGCTACACGCAGGTGACAGCATATTATGATAGGATAACACTGGGCATCACGTGTCACACATGAAGTATACATAATAACAAACAGGTCATCTGCAGTCCAGAACCAACATCTGCAAACACCAAGGGCCAATTTCCTTTACATCAGTTTCAAAGCAAAAATTCACCAAACCAGGGAAAATATCTGCTTAGCAAAAGCAAGTTACCTGGAAAACTGTTATTAACCAGTCGTTCTTGCGACTGGTCGGTGGTGTACACTGCACCGGGTAGTTCTTGTTGAACTCGTACTAGTTGACCTTTTACTCAAGTCCTTTTGGGGGGGCACTCTTAATACTCATTCTCACGAGAATGTACTCATCCCGATCTTATACAGAAGAGATTTCAATGAAGGGTTTGGGATGGAAATGATTCTTCACTTTACCTTCGTTCTCGTCTATCCTCTGGCTGCCTCCCCCGCTGTGCCGTTTCTTCCGGCCGTTGCCCTGCCTGCTGTTAGCACCATTCTCCATCTTCAACACTGAGGGGCTGTACCCTCCACCGCCTCCAACCCCGCCCCCAATGTAAGGGCTGCTGCCCCCACCCCCACCCCCGCCCCCGCCCCCACGGGGGGAGGTCTGGGGGCTGGGGATGTAGCTGGGGTTCTTCTCCTGCCTGTCCCGCAGCTTCTTCTGGAGCTTTTCACGCTGCTTGTCTGTCCTGTCGTCACGCGACCGCGAGCACATCGGCGGTCTCTGTTGAGGATCTGGAGTTGGAAAAACCAAATTGAAAAAAGTTATCGCCAAATGTTAACAGGGGAAGGAAAGGAAGCATTTGAGTAGGGAAGAGTGTAAAATCACTCAATCACTCTTGAACAGGCTGGCCTGAAGAGAGCATAACAAGCTCTGCGAGACCTGGCATACATGATACCAGGGTACAATATGTGAGATGCTGGCAAAAGGTATGTGAGATGCTGGCAAAGGGTATGTGAGATGCTGGCAAAAGGTATGTCAGATGCTGGCGAAGGGTATGTGAGATGCTGGCAAAGGGTATGTCAGATGCTGGCAAAGGGTATGTCAGATGCTGGCAAAGGGTATGTCAGATGCTGGCAAAGGGTATGTCAGATCCTGGCAAAGGGTATGTCAGATGCTGGCAAAGGGTACCCCGGTATGTCAGATGCTGGCAAACTGCATGTTGCCACATCAACATTAGAAAGGCCATGAAATTAGGTTTCATGCTGTATACTGTTTATCCTCGTCCTCTGTTGATCGCTACATGTACTAGTTTTTGTGGCATACTCTTTTCTTTTTAAGTACCGGTATGGATCCTCTTCAGATAAAAAAGGGCTTGCAGAAAATGTACATACATGTACATGTAACCAGAGCGAATGTTTCCAATCTTTCAATTTCTGTAACACCACCAGCTACCAAGGAACCAGTTTAAATGAGAACGAGAGCCCTGGCCCTGGAAAGTGCTAAGCACACAAACTATTTGCTTAGCACAAGTACATGTTACTGCACAAAATGTCACATACATGTATTGTGCATTTCTTGTGATTGGCTCCCAGCTAGTTCATGCTTAGCACACAGACTTGTTACTGCATGTGTACATGGAAGCATAACTGTCTGCTAAGCCAGTCTGTGTACTACGCAAATACCAGTATCAGCTGGGAACCAGCCACAAAAGCAATACACACCCATGAATTTTGTGACTGGTAGCCTAGTCCTGCTAAGCAGATATTTTTCTGTGCTGAGCAAGTCTGTATGCTTAATACAAAGGACAAAAAAAAATTACTGGCCCTTCCAGACTTTTGACCAAGAAAATAAATTACATGCATACATGTCGACAAACGTGATGCAATACGCATCTTGTGTTTTTTTTAAACACAGCAGAACTACGAGCAATGACCGCAAGGCCAAGATTGCAAGATGCGAGCACACATCACTGTATGTCTTTAATGGAAGGCAAAGTGAGGTTCCGGAATGTGAGCCAATCCAATGGACAGCCAAACATTTGTGAATCGATAAGTCTGCAAGATAAGGACATCCAGGACATCTTGTGGGAAAATGTGTGTGCGTGAGTTTGCTTCTGCATTCAATTGGGG